TGCACATAAAAAGACATCTCTGAAGGCTGTCAGAGGCACACTTGCTTCTGGAACGTGAACTGAAGTGATTGCTAAGACCTGAGCCTCTGTTCATGGTGCTCCCATCAGCAAGGCAGAGCACAAGCCCAACACCCATCACAGCCTCTTCGAATCCTGCACTGCAGGCTGTCAGTCTAGCCAGGAACCCTGCAATCTCATTTATGCAAAAACAAAAACAGAAAGACAGCTCCTCCTGATGGGAATAAAAATTAATTCCAGCTAAGCAGCATAGATCCTGAATTGCAAATTACAATGACAATGTTTCCTTGTTCAGAAGAGACTGTCTCATGCCAAAGAAACACCATTAGCATTGGGAACCCTATCCAAATAAATCACTTGTGAAAACTCCAGAAATGGGATACAAAAGCAAGGAAAAGGCTAAGGGTCTCTTTGTAAAGAACTCACCACGATGGAGTGAAATAGACCCACAGTAAACAAGAGCTCTTTTGTTTCAAAAAGTATACTTTGGGCAGTAGGACAAATGGGTTGCTTTTATCTTGGCAGTGATCCTAAATACATGCTGCACAAAAGACTGGTGATGTCACTGCAGACCCAAAGATCTGGGTTCTGTTCCTGGCTCTACCCCAGCTCCTGTGTGGCTCCAGGGTTATTTTCTCTGGCCGGGATTCAGTTTGCCTCACTGTAGCCACCTAAGAGATAGGCATCTAGGGTAGGTGCTCTGCCTAGGTTCACTCTACAGTCCATGTGGAGAGACCACTATTTTCAGAGGGCTACTTTGCTCCTCTCTTGGACACCACGCTTATGGCAGGATGGATGACCTTGGATGTGCTGGTCTCTCACCGCTGACTGAAGTGGAAGCTTAGGGCAGAGAATCGGCTTGTAGCTGTTAGCTGGCTACAGCTGGCTGACAAGAACTATGCCCTCTGCATGTGCTATAAAAATGGGATAAGAAGTCTTCTGGATCTCTTGCCCCCTTAGATGGCAAGCCATTGACTGAAGGGTTACCTTGCTCTCCATCTATGTATTGCCCTTGGCACAACGCACCACAATCAGCACACACTTCTACACAACCCAGAAAGCACACATCACGGTCTTGCTTAGTGTAACAAGTTAGAACAACTGTCTGAACAGGCTAAGCGGGGAGGTTATCACTTGAGCTTGTATCTGTCTTCCTGCATATAAGGGGCAGGGCAGTGGGAAGGCACTGCCCGATTAGTACACACTCTGAGCACAGGGGCTGTGAGCACAATAAGATTTTGCTATGCTGTACAAGGCAAGGATTATCCTGAGCACTTCTCACCATGCTTTCTTTTGCAAAGGCTGATCCTAATCTGCTCTTTAGAATAGCTGCAGTCTGCTGAACTAGAAAGACTGTCAGGCCAATTCAGGCTTCTTAGCAAACTAACATTACCAGGGCTCAGATGGAACGAATTTCAAGAGAAAAGTGTCATTTTAAGAGGAAAATGAAATGTTGCAATATTGAAAGTAGAATACAATCCTTACTAGTATAACTGAAGACAACCCATCCAGTTTCCTTGTCAGAGCACAGAGAAATACATGGGAATGACTATTTGGGACCACACCAAAGGTCCCTGTAGCCAAGTATGTCATCTCCTAAGAGTACTGAGTAGAAACTGCTTAAACAATGTAAGCACATCAGCAAATATAGTTCTATCCCCTTGTACATACTCAGGGCTTACAGCAACTCAGAGTTACAAATTTACGGAATCAGATGATTTGTCCTTCCAATGCCAAACTAGCTCTCCACGAATTTATATAATGTTTTTGAACCCATTTGTATCTTAGTCCTCCAGATCACAAAGGAAGGAAGAAAAGTTCCACAATTTCATCATTCATCATGTTATGCTGTTTTAAATTTGTCTTAGTCCTGCTGCTCAGTAATTTCATAAAGTCTTGTTCGTTCTTTTGTTATGGGCAATAATGAACATTTGACCTCCTTTCACTTTCTCTATTCCACTTAGGATTCTACAGACCCACAACAAGTCCCTCTCCCTTGTCTTCTATAAGAGTCCTAGTCTGTTAATTCTCTCTGATACAGAAGTCATTATATGCATTATTCCAGCACAGGAAGGACATGGATCTGTTAGAGCAAGTCCAGAGGAGGGCAACAAAGATGATCAGAGGGCTGGAGCACCCCCCGTACAAGGACAGGCTGAGAGAGTTGGGGTTGTTCAGCCTGGACAGGAGAAGGCTCTGAGGAGACCTTAATAGCAGCCTTCCTGTACTTAAAGGGGGTCTACAAGAGAGATGGGGAGGCACTCTTTATGAGGGAGAGGAGCGACAGGATGAGAAGTAACGGTTTCAAGCTGAAAGAGGGTAGATTTAGATTACCTATTTGGAAGAAATGTTTTAGTGTGAGGATGGTGAGACACTGGAAGAGGTTGCTCAGAGAAGTTGTGGATGCCCCATGCCTGGAGGTGTTCAAGGTCAGGCTGGATGAAGCTTTGAGCAACCTGGTCTAGAGGAAGGTATCCAAGCCCATGTCAGGGGTGTTGGAACTCAATGATCTCTAATGTCCCTTCCAACCCTAACCATTCTATGATTCTATGATATATATTTCTGTTCATCCTTACTGCCCTTTTCTGGACCTTTTCCAATCCTTCCACAGCCTAACACCTAGTTCTTCTTTGGAGTTCACATCCAGAACTGTATGCAGTAATCAAGATATCAGTTTATTATGAATCATTTTGTTCTCTTTTTAGTTTTCTATTGTTGTTTGTGCTGCTGCTTTATGTGTAGTTTTCTATTTTATTTCCACTGTATCCAGAAGCTTTGTTTTATTTTTATTTAATAGTAATTCCCATAAAATTTTGGTTTGCCTTTTTGACTATTGCTGAGCTTTATCAAGTGTTTGAAAAAGAAACATGTACTTGAATGACTTCAAGATCACTTTCCTGAATAACAGAAATCTCCTTGGAGCCCAGTGTTGAGCTTTTTATCCCACAACCACTATACTCCTCAACAATGAATTTTATCAGTTATTTTATCACAGCTGAGAGCCTTCAGCATTCATTGAAAAAAAGGTGTTCCCTTAAAATAAGTACCAAACTACTTGCTTTGGTGGTTCAGAATATTCACAACAGATCCTAACTTTTTCAGCCCAAAGAACACTAGCAAAAATGTCCACCTGTATTTTACAAGTACATATAGATTAACTGAAATGGCTGGTGGGCAAAGATGTAGCTGCTGGTAAGGCCCTCTCTTAGGATCCCCAACTCTGTGTCCTCCACAAAGAATTCCTAGGGTTCAGATATTAGGTTTAAAAATTTTAGTGCCTAATCATGCTATCTGCATCTCTCAGCCACTGGTTACCTGAAGCACCATGACTGATCTTTACTTCAAGACAGACTGAGAATTACTAGTGCCCTACAGAAGAGTCAGCTTTTACTTAAATAAATAGAATACTAACACTCAGAGAAGAAAGACAATTCTCCTGCTAGAGACAATGAAGAGACTGATTGGGTCAAAACACTTAGTCCTCCTCACAAATCTAATGACTGTAGTCTGACTGTTCTGTAGTCTGTCTTCTTCTTGCAGCAAGGAGAAGGCTCTGCTGCCTTTGCGACACTGTTCTTTTCTCAGCCCCTTCCTGCTTTGTGTCAGAGTTAGAGGCAAGACCTGGGGGGGACATGTTTGCAAGGAGCAGATGCTCTGGAGGGGTGCAGGTGGGGTACTGCTGTGATCTTCACAAGCTCTGAGGAAAGGACATTGGAGACTTAAAATAGTTCAGGATTTCAGTGGTTCATCCGTATTCCCTTGTTAATTAACAACAAACATCAGATGCAAAGTTGAGGTTTTAAGATCACTGTTCACTAAATGAGAATGCCAGCAACATGGCTCTACAGCAGCTACTGACAATGAAAAAGAGTAGAGTCGTAGCGAGTCCCAAAGGCACTTTCAGGGCATCTGAGAAATTTACTGAGTAGTCTGCTGAGAAGATAACGTTGAGGAGCCAACGCTATCTGGGCAAGAAAGACCCCAGGAAAACTTGCCTCACAGCTGGTCTCCTCCCTTTGGGAATTTCCCTGGGAAGCAATGGTCATGAGGGGGAGATACCAGCATGCTGTCCCCTCCCTAAGAAGCTGTTCATGATAGTCAGCACTTCAGGTAGAGCTAGAAAGTAGAAGAGTGAGAGAACCGAAGACAGACCATTTATTCACAGTGACATTAACCATCCCACCTTCACAGGAGTAAAGGTGGAGATGGGAAGACAAGAATTCAGAATACAGTGTGTCTGTAAGCAAGAAGAGACACTGGACAGGAGGAAAGGCAACACTGTTGATATGGATTCCCTTGTAAAACAAACAAACAAACAAACAAAACCCAAGCCTGAGCAGGTAGATGTAATGCACACAGCAAAATCAACGTGTTAGAATTGTTTTCCATTTCCTGAAGCTGTGAGCAGTAATATTGGATAGAGATTAATATGGAGTAACACAGCAACTACTCAAAATTATCCCATGTCCAGTACCAGACACTGTAGCAAGGAAAGTGCCTTTTTACAACATCCAGGCCTGATGTGCTCTAATGGAGAGCTTACCCTTTGAAACAACCCTATGAGGCATCTTCTAACAGGAAGCACTTAGAGAAGTCTCTCATTATTAGCTTCTGTCAAAAACATAATATATCTGGTCTTTCAGCAATTAGAAGGGCAGAAACAGAGAGATCAGAGCACACCAAGTAAGATAAAAAGGATTAAGTGGTGCTTCTAGAAGTCCTTGACCGAAGGGAATGTCAGGACTGTCACAACCCAGAAGCCCTGGCCAACACTGGTACACCTATGCATTTCTAAATGTTTATGTCATGGAATGTAACGGCCTAATCCCTAATTTGAGTTAAATCTCAATTTACTGCTTTGAAATTAGGTGAGTCCTTGCTATGAGATCCAGTCCATGCCCCAGAGTAATATATGTTCTGATCTCAGTGCACCTGTTTAATATTTTAAATCTCTCAATTATTCTTTTGCATTTTTTACTTACAAGAGCCATATCCCACCGCAAATAGGTCCTTGTACTTTGGATTCCTGTAATGAGAAGATGGGTATAAGATTGCTTTTATTATTAACCATATAGTTCCACAGAAATGCATAGTGTTTCACATATTAACATCAGAGCCAGGACTGCATACAGTTTGAGAGCTTGACCCTTTGAATACATGCACTAGTAAAGTTTGTGTATGAGTAATTCTTACAGACTCAAGGCACGTTAAAAATAAATCCCAAAATATCAGAAGACCACAGCAGCAGATTTAAGAGGATAAAAAGAGCACAGAGAGTCATGAAAGAATCACAGAATCATAAGAAGATTTGGGTTGGAAGGAACCTTAGAGTTCCAACACCCCTGACATGGGCATGGACACCTTCCTCTAGACCAGGTTGCTCAAAGCTTCATCCAGCCTGACCTTGAACACCTCCAGGCATGGGGCATCCACAACTTCCCTGGGCAACCTCTTCCAGTGTCTCACCATCCTCACACTAAAACATTTCTTCCAAATAGATAATCTAAATCTACCCTCTTTCAGCTTGAAACCGTTACTTCTCATCCTATCGCTCCTCTCCCTCATAAAGAGTGCCTCCCCATCTCTCTTGTAGACCCCCTTTAAGTACAGGAAGGCTGCTATTAAGGTCTCCTCAGAGCCTTCTCCTGTCCAGGCTGAACAACCCCAACTCTCTCTTCTGGGTTCAGATGGGCTAGGGTTAATTTTCACAGAAGCTGGGAGGTGGGCATAGCTGAAGGGGTATTCCATACCATGCTGATGTCATGCATGAGATATAAGGGGAAGTTAGCCAGGATTGGGGTGAGGGTTTTCGGTCAGGCGTCTTGGTGGTGAGGTGTTTCCATTGTGTGCCGTTCTATATATATCCTGTTCTGTTATTATATTCTCTTTCTTCTCATGTTGTATTATTAAAAATCTGTCGTTACCTCAACTCACAAGGTTCCACCTTTCTTTTATTCTTTCCCCCATCTTATCAGAAGGGGGAAAAGTGAGAGAGGGGAAGGGAGCAATCATGTGGGGTGGCATGTGGTCGTTACCCATGACACTCTCTCAGCTTGTTCTTGAACAGGAGGTGCTCCAGCCCTCTGACCATCTCTGTGGCCCTCCTCTGGACTGGCTCCAGCAGGTCCGTGCCCTTCTTATCTTGGGGTCCCCCAGAGCTCAACACAGTATTCTAGGTGGTGTCTCACCAGAGCGGAGTAGAGGGGGAGAATCACCTCCCTCCACTTGCTGGTCACGCTTCTCACGTGGCCCAGGACACAGTTGGCTTTCTGGGCTGCAAGCGCACATTGCCGGCTCACGTAAAACTCTTCAGCAACCAGCACCCCCAAGTCCTTCTCTTCAGGGCTGCCCTCACTCCAATTCTCCTCCCAGCCTGTGCTTCTGCTAGGCATTGCCTCAACCCATGGGCGGGACTTTGCACTTGCCCTTCTTCAACTTCCTGAGGTTTGTGCAGGCCCACCTCTCAAGTCTGTCAAGGTCCCTCTGGGTGCATCCCTTCCCTCCAGCATGTCAACCACACCACACAGCTTGGTGTCACGCAGAAAACTTGCTGAGGGTGCGCTCGATCCTGCTGTCCATGTCGCCAACAAAGATGTTAAACAACACCGGTCCCAATACCAACCCCTGCAGAACGCCACTTGTCACCGGTCTCCACTTGGACATTGAGCCATTGACCACAACTCGTTGAGTGCCACCATCCAGCCAGGTCCTTATA